TTGGTAGAAGTATGTATAAAAGTCTAAATCTAGTCAATAAAAAGATTTCGGGACTTAGGAGTGTGATATACTTACCTAAAGAGAGTCGACAAGCCGAAATCTTTTGTCGACTCTCTTCAGGTAAGTACGTACATGTGAATTTCACCCCTCTTACATTAAATTCCTGAAAATTATTCATTTTAACTCAACCTAACGGCAGGTGACACTCTAATAACATCTCGGCTGGGGGTCATATCCCGTCGTCGTAATCATATTTAGTTCATGGGTAGATATCGTGGAATTCTATGCGAAGGAGTCCAAGTCCAGAATGACTACAAGATGGGGGTATAGTTTAAGTCCATCACCTACTCCACCAACCTGCACAAGGAAGATGCAACATTAAAGACTTGAAAAGAAGAGAAAAGTTGGAACTTACAAAGGTTCCTTCACAGGCTTAACATGGATACTGGCATGCTTAGGGACGCCCTCAATCCTATGGAAGGCGTTCAAGTTCTTATGCATCGTAATCTGGAAGACCGAGGCTCCACCCTGGCGCGAGGTGATAACACTGTACGCGAGGAAAAACACCCAAACTCGATACCACCGATCACCATACTTGGCAACAACTTTATCCTTGTTCGAAACCCAGTTTTTGTACCATTGGTAGATGGTAGCGGAGTAATGTACGCCTAGAACATCGATATTTTTGATTTCAAAACCGGCGCCTTCCAACTTGGGGGGTGGAAGGAAAGTGAAGATGCACATGTCAGGTTGACCAACGCACGTTCGAAGAGAACAAAATACCTTGTTAACGACCCAGCCGAGGGAGCAGCTAGCATCCGCACCGGGGAAAACATATTTGTTCATGAAGAGACCCCAGATGAGGTCCTCGAATTGCCAAGGGGGACGGATACCAGCGACCTGGAAGACAAAGATGCCATCATCGTCTAGGAGATCGTATACCTGACTCAAGAACTGGGAGTAGCGACGGATACCGACGTGCTGTGAAGCATATATGAGCGTTGATTGCTTAGAGGTGCGATAATACAGATGCTGACCTCGGCCATCTCGAGCGAAACAATCTTGGTATAGGCGCCCTTCCCAACAGGGAGATCCCGGTAGTCTGAGCAGATAATCCGTGCCTTTTCTGAAGCGACGCCGTTCTTCTTGATGCGTTCCGTGCCAAATCCTGCCTGATTAACGGAAAGGGTGCAGCCGGTCGCGTCGCAGCCATAGTTCTTAGCAGCGTAGGTGACAAGAGTACCCCAACCGCAGCCAATATCGAGGAGCCTAATGAATATAAGATATGTTTAGTAGATAGCAAAGACGTTGAGAACGCACTTGTCAGTAGGTTTCAAGTCTAGCTTCTCACAAACAATAGCAAGCTTGTTGTCCTGAAGAACTTCGAGGGATTGTTCGACGGTGTTATCAGTGCAGACACCCGAAGTGTAAATCATCCTCGGGCCCAAAAACCATTCGTAGAAGTCGTCACCACCTAGAAAGATGAAAAGCTTGAGTATGAAAACACGTAAATCGAGGGACCTGGATCGCACGGTCGTAGTGTTCGCGAACCTGGCCCTGGTCCTGATCCCTGGAGTGGGAGACGACGTCGGGAATGAGAACGGTGAAGACGTATCGATGTCCTTGCCAGGTAAAACGACCTTCTCGTTCCTGCGCGGACCATACATACTGACGAGGGTCCAGTATGCTACCGTAGTGGGTACTCCTGTAAGAACAAGGAGGAAAAGATATGTCTTGAAACCGCCACGGTTCACGAGAGGAAGAAAAGACTTGAGGAGGTAGGGAACGACGACGACGGAGATGGCGAGGTGCAAATTGTTGAAAGCGCCATTGCCCTCTGCGAGGCCAACGAGGGGCGCATTTTTTATGGCAGGATAGTTGGTTGGTCGAACGGTGGAAGACGCCATAAAGAAGGAAGACCTACTTTGCTGACGCGACTTTTTCTTAAAAAGAGGCCGGTTGGTCGCGGGCCGGTAATGTCACGTTGTCGCGTCACAACTTCACAAGGGTCGATGGCGTAGTTGGTTATCGCATCTGTCTCACATCATCAAGTGCGCACAGGAGGTCCTCAGTTCGAGCCTGGGTCGACTCATTTTCTTTTCTGTCATCGGCATCCTCTATCTTCTTACGACTTCTCCTTCTTGGTTGAGCCAACAAGGGTCGATGGCGTAGTTGGTTATCGCATCTGTCTTACATACATTTGTTCACAGAAGGTCCTCAGTTCGAGCCTGGGTCGACTCATTTTTTTCCCTGTGGGTGGCAGAGTCACGTGTAATCCACCCAATAAATATCCTATTTATAGACCCTCACTTGGCAAGAAACCACCATGCCGCCTCAACTCTCCTCAGCTGTACGTTCTTTTCCACTTGGGTCTGTCAAAATCATCTATATCATCTTTCTTTCAGATGACCCTCAAGCGCATTCACCGCGAGGTAGCTGACCTCAAGAAGGAAGATCTGGGCTCAATTGTACTCGCACCATCAGACGACAACCTGTACTTGTGGAAGGGTAGCATCCCTGGACCCGAAGGCAGCGTGTATGAGGGAGGCGTATTTAATTTTGAGGTTACTCTCGCGCCAGACTATCCGTAAGCAATTTGCGGAGGTTATATGTCGCAACACATGCTGAATCCCCCATGCCACTTCAGGTTTTCGGCACCTAAAGTTGTATTCAAGACAAGGTAAGGGTGAATATAATTTCCTAAACACACGCTCAATATTCAGTGCTAGAATATACCATATGAACGTACGTGCATCTTTTCACTGTGACAACCTCGGTTGGAATCTGGCCTGCAGATCTCGGAACAGGGCAACATCTGCATCGACATTCTCAAGCACAACTGGTCACCCGCTCTATCTTTGTTCAAGGTCATGCTGTCGCTGTCATCTCTTCTGACAGACCCCAATCCCAGTATGTACTCTATTGTTCATTACTTGGTTGTTGCTGATTAGCCTTCCAGAGGATCCTTTAGGTGAGATTTTATGAAGTGATATTTTATAATGTCGAATAACGGCCACTACAAGTCCCTAACATTGCACAGCAATATACGCGGAATCGCAAAGCACACGATGCAACGGCACGTCAATGGACCGAGCTTTATGCGCGACCCAAACCCCCACCGCCATCTGCTGCAACATCGTCTGCAAAAGCCAAAGGCAAGCAGAAAGCATCAGATGCCACGAATGGATCATCCACTTTAGCCCCCTCTTTATCGACCAGCTCCGAGCCCATTGAAATCGATGATTCGGATGACGACAACAGTCTTTCAAGACGGGCTTCCACCAGATCTTCGAAGAGAAAACGAGAGGGGTGGATCCAGGTCCATCAGGCAAGATATCTATGTTCTGAACCTATTTGAACATATATCCTTTGTACAACGTTAGACAGCAATCGTAGAGCCATACAAAAAAAATCGAAACGAACCAGTGCAATTCTTAGCTTTGCATGCACATTTGACGTAGACCGCATCTTGGCCTCCCGCAGGAGAGGAGGAACGAGGCTGCGAGACAGGTCCAGCTTCCGAGAAATAAATTGGAATTGGTGTGGCTTCAGCTCACCTGCTCGTCATTGTCATCAGGTTCGCCTGAATAGGAGAAGCAGATCTCCTCAAACGGCTCAATGTCTCGTTTTGCGAAGACTGTCAACAAGGGCTTTTGCAAGTCTGATTCATTGATATAGCAAGGAACTAGGGCGCAGTTTGGATCACATGAGTGATTCTGGGAGGGAAAAGATAGGTTGTTAGAAGGGAAAAGCAAATGATCTGCGGGGTGGACTCACGAGGAACCTAGTGAACTAACAGACTGATTAAAATACGTTTATCAATGCCACAACTACACTTACATTGCCAGCATGATATGCATCCACAGTATAATGAATATCCCAGTTCTCGTCAATTTCTCCATCGTCCTTTTTCTTTAGATGATAAAAATCCAGATCAAAGAGATAGGTCCGCCCAAATTTGTTGTAGGTTCTGATACTCGATTAGCAAGGGACTAGAAATTGAGGGCATACAAATTCACATTCCACGGATCTCTCCAACCTTGTCAGTCAAAAGTTCGCCTGCGTATATTCCGATGAATGATCCTGCTGGAATTTTATATTTTCCAGCAAATACACCTGTAATAATCCGGGTCATTAGCAAGGACGCACTAAATATAAATGATCTAGGATACAAACCCCATCCTTTCTCTGGAGTCTTCTGGATGCTTATGGCACATTTTCGTCCTTGTTGAACGACCTGAAAAAAGTTAGCGAACAAAATCAGCAACGAGATGTCGAAATGCCCACTCGATTGCGACACTCGTCACCGCATCCACATAGATCATTACACTCGAATACAGGATAATTGGGACTTTGTAGGAGGCCTTTACTGTCAAACATGAAACTCGGAGACGACCATAGGCCATCCACCCATTCAAGCTGCCTCCGTGCACAAGCGCATCTTTTCGATTCACATCTGCCAACACAATCACAGTGGACAAGTTTTGATGGGTCGGGTAAAGGCACATCGTCACCAAGCCACATTTTGTTTGAATAGTGAAATTCCCATGGTGGTGTCGGATCGGCGTCAACCTCATTAATGATCTCGATGAGGGGCGCATCTGGCTCCTCTTCGGCGGTGTTCTCTCTAATAGCGGCCTCCATGACTGTCTTGAGAGAACGATGAAAGCGTAATGCTTCTGAAAAATTGTTGATGATATCTTGTAACATATGTGGAAGATCCCTGCTGAAGTAACATTTGGGCTGGATGTTTTCTCGGTGCGTTCGCCAATTCAAACTTTGAAAGCCGCCAAAAGATTTCGCTGGAGCGATAATAGAGTAATCATCGGGAGGTGGCGGACTAGTAGACGGGGAGCTGTAGGCATCCTTGAGGTCACCGTCAACGAATTCTGAGGGCACTCCTGAAGTAGATCGTGATCTGGTAGACCGCCTTAATTGTGGTGCCTCAGGGGCGTCAAGCACGTCCATTGGATCAGGCGTGGTCTCGTAATTCTGTTCTGCCTCTGGTAATTGAACAAGAGAAGCTTCTCGAAGTAACTGTTCGACATCCATCATCTGATTT